TAATTTGATTTACTGCTTACTGTGAACTAAACGGCAAAAAACTAGCGTAGCATAATTAGCTTTTTATAGACTAATTAACAACGTATGTGCATGCCATTACATAAACAGGTGAACTAGTTTCAAATAGTTTGAGTATTCGAAACTAGTTGGAAGATTTCAACAAAATTGCGGCCGGTATGTATTGATATGATGTTGTATTATTAAAAAATACAACATAGATACAAGTAGATTTAAATACTCAAAAAAAAAAACAACAGCGACTTCAATTGCGGCGTAACTGATCAATTATTTTCATTTCAAAACTAAACTACTGAAGTATTTTTGATTATTTTCATATCTATAAGATTTATCTGAAAGTATATCTTTTTAAATAAAAAGAAAAAAATCCTAAATCGATTTATGAATTACGATGTTCTGAGGTAACGAACATAAAACAAATACGACCGAATTGAGAACTTTCTTGTTTTTTTAAACGTTCTATTTACTGATCACTTGTCTAGTAAAATTATTAAAAGTGTTGAATTTTTAGCTTTTAAGTAAATTCTGTTGATGCGTCCAACCAACTTATTACTTACCAAATTATTCGACGGGTGAATTGGATGTTTGTGTTTTAAGGGGTAAAAATTAAGAGTCAAGTGGGACAAATGCTGAGAGCATTCTATTTAAGCAGCTTTTATACGGCCTAATGGTTGTATAACCACAATTAAGAATGTTTGTACTTCACGTAGCTTTAAATTATATAACAAACATAATAAATATGATAATTATATTATCGCTGCTTTTTTATATAGCTTCTGTTGAGAAGAAACGAGTCTTGTAATTTTTTTTTTTAATTAACATGTGTGAGAGTTGTAACAATTTTATATTAAAATGCATTGTTTACACTTGACTATATTTTAAATATATAAAATTGGTATTACCTAAATATTAATATGAATTTTAAAAGTGTCTATCTGTCTGAATTTAGTTGTACATTTAATGCCATTATCACCATTGTCGTGTGGTCCTAGCACAGAATGGACCACCACTTCCTTTCCTATGGGTAATGTAAAAGGCAAGTAATGATACTTAATGGTCAAGGGATGGGCAGCAACATCACTTTTAAAACATCATGAAAACCTAACTGCGGTTATCAACCGAACTAGCGCCTACCTCATATCGCGATTAGTAAATTCCCTACCTACCGACTTGCGAAGCAATATCACTGTTGAAAACATAAGGTTTAAACTGAAAGCTTATTTACTGTCCAACCTTGCTAAAACAGCAGAACATTAATGTAAATATTGACGTTTGAGAACGAAATATAAAGTATCACACACAAGCCCAAGTGGTTTAAGTGGTACTAAAAATCCAGTTTTTTTAATGTATTTATGCATGCTAATTAAATAAAAAACAAACCTACTTGCCAAGCATGAGAATTACTGACAAACCCCCTAATGTCTATGGGAGAGGCCTATGTCCAGCAATCGATAGTTAACGACTAATATAATGAAGATGATGATAATTTCATGTTTTTCAAAATAGACTTCCATACTCCTTTCCTTTCTTACCCGAAGAGATGTGTTATCCCTAATCTAATTCGCTTCCGGTCTCATATAAATTCATAAGTGATTCTAAATTCAATTTGATAAAAATTAAACTTAATACGATCCAACTATGAATTTCCGGATGTAATTTTTAAACAATCTTTTGATTTTTTTTATGTGTGATAATGGAATGGTAACCCCGTCCGCGCTATCGGTATACGCTGGCGGGGCACCAGTGAGGGATGATAGGTGACGATGAAAGCAGGTCAGTTGGCCCATCGTGACGAATTCCACTAGAATTAACCACGATGGTTTCCAGGGGAACCGCGTGGAGGTCGACCTAGGTGTATTGCTAGCAATAAGTCAGTTAGAACCCATTACTAACAATCCCTTCCCCCCGCGATCTTTTGATTTGACGTATGTATAGAGTTGAACTCGAGAACTAGTCAAACGCTCCGATCTAATTAGTTCCAAATATAATGTTCTGTAACGCAGAGTCATATCATTCACGGTTCAGTGAGTCTTCGCTTCGGTAGCGTGGGCTACGAAATTGCGGCACTTGTTATAATACAATAGGTACATTAGTGACAATCTGCCTTTTGCCTACGTGAATTTATTAAATAACCTTATGTGCTAGTTATCATATTAAAACTACAATAAAGTGAAATATAAAACACTAACTGTTGCCCGTAGCTTCGCCCATATTAATCAGTATATTATATGTTTTAAGTTGGGATATCACCTACCTGTGTTCCAAGTTTCGTTCAAATCCGTTCAGTGGTTTTTGCGTCAAAGAGCAACAAACATCCTTTCATTCAAATATCCTCATAAACTTTCGCATTTATAAATAGAAATAGGATTACCATATTTTTAATGTTGTATTCTCTCTGTGAAACTATTTTCAAACAGTAAAAAAAAATATCCAAAGTGACATTGCTCGAAACAAAAAACAAAATACATGTGGGTATTAACTTGACAAATGGACGTGCTATCAGCGCCATGTTGGTGTGGTTGGCACGAAATGTTTAATCTTTTTTTAACTCTTGTTTCTTGTTTCAGCTTCAACGGTAGAATAAGCCTGTAGAAAGATTTTGATATCACCTTGTATAATAACAATCCTATAAATAGAGACCGATGGAAAAAGAGTTGATATAGCATATAGGCCAGGTTGTAGAGTTACAACATGATTGCGCATAATGACGACTGACGCATCCGTCATACTAGTGAACGGTTGCTATCAGTTGAGAAAGAACTTATTCAATCTAGTTAACTAGGACTGATCTATTATTGCTAATTTTCTATAATTTTATTTTTATATAATACATGACCGATTTTATTTGAAATCAGAAAGTCTTATATTAATTAGATGTAATATTTTAGATTCTTTTTTAATATTAGTCGAATAGTCTTTTGAGTTTGCCCACTACAAACAAACAAACAATCAAATCTTTCTTCTTTATAATATTAATATAGATAATTTTCCGATTATTTTTCTATACGGAAAATACATAAAGTTAAAGCAACATAATATTTTAACAAATTCAGAATGGCGAATGCATCGGAGAGTCCTTACCAGCACAAGGCACTTCAGAGCGTTCAGCTTGCAATTGAAATGTTTTTCGTAATAACTTTTAGAGCGTTTAGTGGGCATCCAGTCTGACAGAAGAGTATACACGTGTAGTAAATTTATACCTACAAAAGTGTACTAGCGTGTAATATTATCACCATTTTTTTAATGGGTGAAAACAGAATTCCCCGCCCTCGCTATCGGTATACGCCGACAAGGCACTAGTGGAAGATGATAGGTGAGAATGAATGCAGTTGGCTCACCATGATGGATTCGACAATAATTAACCATGATGGTTTCCAGGGGGAACCGCGTGAAGGTCGACCTGAGAAATTGCTAGCAATAGGGCTATAAGACCAAATTACCAACAATCCCTCCCCCCCTCCCTTTACACTAACTATCACCATATCAGCAGTTAACTGTCCACTACCAAACGTAGGCCTGCCCCATTGAATGGGGGGTTTGCCAATAGTTTCCGCGCTTGGCAAGTAGGCACATTTACTAATTTAGAAAGATTACTTCAAATTATATTTAATTAAAAAATAATGTACAAAAACCACAAGTACCGAATGTAACGCCATCTAGTACTTGTTTGATTTTGTTTAATGATCAAATACCTTAACCGTTTAACAAACCACCATACCAAATACTGTTTACGTGTCAACCCAGTTTTTAACAATTTTGTTTATGCAACATAGAATGTGCAAACAAGCTGGCGATCCACCTAATGGAAAGTGGTAACTGTCACCTATAGACATAAACAGTACTATGGGCATTTCTTTGCCATTCCTAAAGACTAATGTTTTACCTCTGTACCCTGTAATTTCATTGCCATATTTCATTTATCAAACCAAAACACAACTGCTTCGTGGTAAGAACACTAATGAGGCCCTGCCTCATAGCTCTATCTCATTCGTGTTCTTGCCGTAAAGCTTATATATAGTGAATATCTAAACATGAGTATCTACATAAAATACATACAATATATAGTATAAATACATGAATATCTAAACTAAATAAAATAACATTTTTTATCGTTCCCGTGTTGTTATTTGTCCTTGAGCAGCCTGCTCTAAAAATAGAATTAGAAACGAAGAATCTCTATTTAAATTTACTTGTTTACAAGCACTTCAGAAATTGTTATCTTTAATTGTACTACAGGGTTCGGAATTTAACTGTTACTTATTGTATTTAAATAATTTTATTATTTAAATTATAAATTTATTTGGATGGTAGGTACCTGCCTGTTATGACTATAAATAGCATAGATATAATCTAAGGAGAGACCAGTTACTATCGCTAGTTTAGTAATTATAAGATCATATCACATTTTTTTAATCTCCTACCCCTCAAAAGATATCAAAGGCATAGTGATGATATGTATTTTTTTTTTAATATTTCACTGAAGTTATTCACTGCATACCGCGACTCAATAGTCGCGGTATGCAGGATTGCCCTCACATACATAATATACAAATCACCCCAAATTTTCATCACTCACTATACTTAAATGTTAAATATATTTTAAATTTATAAATATATTTATATTATTGAAAACAAATAAAATAATTGATGGGTGGCGCACGTTTTTGGAATTAATTTACGCCCGTGTCAAAATACGCATGATTGAATACTGGCATGAGTAATACGTAAATAATCTTTTATATGTTCATTAAAATGTATGTAAATCCTATTAATATAATAAATGTGAAAGTTTTTAAATGGATGGATAGTTGTTTGTTACTATATTATGGAAAAAATATTAAATAGATTTCATTTAAATTGGGTATACGGGTCGGTCATATCCTAACTTAGCAAACTTACTTTATGTACTGATTCACGCAAGAGGCGCCGCGGGATACAGTTAGTTTTAAATAAACATTGTTTAGAATATTTAATACACTTACCCGCGTAAGAGAAGAGCGGATGATCGTCTGAATGATTGTGAAATTTTGTCCACATACACAGCGTGAACTCTTTCAAGTCCGCCAAGTCGCTTACGTACTCCAAATACTGATAGTCCAGTTCTTGGTTCATGGAAACTTTATATGCACTGCATGTTTCTTGCTCAAGGGCTGGTGCAACGTTGATTAGGCCGGTTGGTTTCAACACGTACTTTTGGGGCGGCCGTCTGTTTATTATTTTAAATGAAGAACTAGAAAAAAAAAAACAGAATTTCTCAGTATTCTTAATCACCCTTACTTATATAATACTGTCTAATTATAAGCTGATGCTAAATTTAACGATGTCTCAAATCTTTTCCCCAAATTAATACAATGTATTTGCAGAATACTAAATAAATAAATCTATTCGATTTCTAATAAATATGTATCGTTATTTTTTATGGAGATATTAAAATTTAATGTCACATCTATTAAAAAATAATACGTGATTACCTAACACTTGATTATTTTTATAAATAAGACGGTTGTTTTTATATATATTATCATCTACATTATATCAGCCGTTAATTGTCTACTAGTAAATATAGGTTTTGCCAGTAGTTGCTATTCTTGGCAGGCGGGTTGTTAACCACAGTTGATGTTTAAAGAGCAATCTATCGACCATTAAATTTCTGTCGTCTCTTACGACAACTACGGGAAAGGAAGGGGTGTGATTACATATTTGTTAAACTATGTCTATTGAGTCATTAAATATTCAGTACCCTGATTAGAAAGGAATAAATTATATAACGTATATAATATTACAATGCCCGAAAGAAACACCTTTAAAATTTCTTATTTATTTAGTATTTCAATTGTGCGATAAGATCACTATTTGTACTTTTATGTCTATATTTTGATCTGTATTTTATGCTACTGTATTTTCCTTGATTTTCTAAATATCTCTATACCTATATTTTTTTGTTTTTGGTGCAATAAATAGTTATTATGTACCCCAATTGTCGTATTCTAATAACATTAATATAGGTTTGTAATATTTACTAACTTACCGACTTTCTATCGATCTATCCGGAGATTTCACATATGTGGAATAGGCAATCGATGATTCTGGAACTATTGGCTGCCAGTCATCTTCTCGGGCAACACATGCCCCCAAAAAGGCACACAGCAGAAGTATCCGCATCTTCTGGAAAAAAAGAAAATCTTTTTATAGAACATAATTTACATAACCACTGTTTTATTGTTAAAAATCTGATCCCAAATGATCTCGAAACTAGTTGACCAAATTACACGTACGTTAAACTAGTGGTTTTTACATTAAAATATAACAACCATTGTTTACATAATATTACATACTGTACAGCTTAATGTGTTTAAGAAATAAAAACAAAATTCACAAAAAGTAGTGTACCCTCTAATTTTTTTGTTATGTATTAAGTGTAACTAAAAAATTTTGTTGTTCGGTTTAATAATAACAAATAATTACAAGTTACTAAATTATTTAAATATCGTAATACTAGTTTTGGTTATACGGTTTTCCATGAATTTTAAATAAAAAAAAATACAAATTATTATGTAGATATTCGTACTTATCCGTTCTATTTATTTACATTCCCATAAATAATTTCACTTACAATGAAAAATCAATCATCAATGATTTACACAATTAAGCTTAATATGAAATGAGTAGATTAGAATCGTTTGGTTATCTACTCTGTATTAGATACACTTGTCATGTAACACTGTATCATTATATATTTCTATTTAAGATGTCCAGGATAAAATTAGCATACATCCTTTCCATCCCAAAAAGTTTATTGAGCCGCCAAAGCACCAAGAGAGTTTGTTTGTTAAACAAATTTACTTTTTCATTTATTTTATTTTTATATAATAATATCAATAAAATATTTGTTAATATATATATATTCGTATAACTCTTATACTATTGAGCATTTGTAAGTAAAAAAGAATAGAATGGTATTTTTATATGACCTTCGCGGTTGAAAGCGAAATTGAAGAAGCAAAAACAAAGTGAGCACAAATGGCGCTAGAACAATTTGATATTATCTAAGATTGAATCTGGCCGGCTATTAGGAATTCTACGTATGTACCATGGACAGTTTAAATATGTCTTTTATTCGAAAATTTCTTATTTTTTTTCTTAAGTTTTTACCTACAAAATTTCCATACTAATCAATACAATTGTAAAGTGTGGCTGAGTCTATTAATTAATATTTTATTTAATTTTAATTTAATAAAATATTAATTAATAGAAGAATAGAAATATTAATTAAATAAGATTATTTAACAACAATTTAGAATTATTATTTAAGATTATTTAATCTTAAAATTTTCTATTAATATTTATATATTTATACCGTTCTATCATCTATTATTTGGCAGGTAATGAAATGTCAATTTCATTAATAATGACAAATTTGACATATAATGTCAAATTAAAAAAAAAATATCACTTATTGATATCGATCTAAATATCAATGATATTTGCATAAACTTTCACACGTCTTGCATATAATTCTTAATATCCATTTTAATTTAGTTTACTATCTACTATTAATTATGTCTTATCATTTATTTTTTATTTATTTATTTATATTTAATTTGTACCGATACTATTTTATACAATAGGAAAGTACTGTATTTTTATATTCAAATATAAATATTTAATGGTAACTTCTCCTGCTATAACACTACAAGTTGGATAACATGGCAAGGAATTAACAGCTTTAACTTCCACAAAGGAGCCACGTAGAGGTAGACAGCAATCCCTCCTAGGGGGGAAAGGGATTGTTAGTAATGGAGACTGAGGATCCCATTGCTACAACATACCCAACCAAGTCGACCTCCTCGCGGTTCTCCCTGGAAACTATCCTAGTTAATTCCTGATGAATTCATCATGATGAGCTAACTGGCCTGTTTTCATTCACATCTATCACCCTTTACTGGTGCTCCGCCAGCGTATCACGTTAGTGCAGACCGGGTTACCATACCATTTTCACCGATAAAAAAAGCAACCCCTTCCCTCCCCACGTACTATATACACAAAACACCAATATCAAATGAAAAATGTTTGCTCAAAATGTCGTCCGTCTGCTATCGCCCTAAATATTCTCAAAGGCAAACGCCGGGTTAGTAATCGGTAAATCAGCGATTAATTACGTCCCTCGCCGTTCGTTATCAAGCGACGATTGCTCCGTTCTTTATGTCATTATCAGCTTTATTTAATTAATGTTTTAATTATAATTGTAACAGACTTCCGTATATTTGGGATGACGTAATTCGCGTCAGATTATGAATAGCAGAGGTAGGTGTAATCTTTTACTGGTTTAAAGCACCATTCACACAACTTCAAGTGTGATTATCTTAAAGAATGTGCATAAGTGACCAAATTTGATTGATTTCATTATTTCTTCAGTTCTCGTCGCAGACAGAAATAAAGCTATTTAACAATTAACACTTTCCATCAAGTATCATCATCATCATGATATCAACCGTTAGATCTCCACTGCTGAAAATAGGTCTTCCCCATAAGGGAGGTTTTGCCAGTAGTTGTCACGCTTGGCAGGCGAGTTGACAACTGCAGTTAAGTTTTTCACTCCACCGTTAAGTTTCTTTAGTCGCCTCTTACGACACTTGCAGAAAAGGAAGGAGTGGCCCATTCTAGGCTTCGTTTTCAAAAAAGGAGGTACTTAAATCGGTTGTATTTTTTTTATATTAGTTATACCTGTCACCTCATAACTCTATCAGTTGTAAACCGATTTGGAAAATTCTTTTTTATCTAAAAGGACACATTATATTGGACACAGATTGATTCTATGGAAATGTTTATCAAAATCGATTCAGTAATATAGTTTTTAAATGAAAATAACTGTTTTTACTACAATTGAAGTCTTTTATAAATTTATTTTATTATTACTAATATTTTATTTGAAGTGTTTTTTAGTACACAACCTTGTTTACTACCATCACGTTGAGTCCACAAATCAGTTTAAGTCAAATATCACGTAATATTAATATCGTAACGTATTTCCGTTTAAACTAGTTCTGAACTCATGGTTAAGTTCATTATGTTATTAGTTCTCAAAATAACTTTCAACTTGAGATAATAACAAAATCTACTTTCATGAAGTGTTAGGAGAGATGGCGTAATAAGGCGTAAGATGGTAAATATTTTGTAATAGAATATTTAAATGGAATATTGCTTTTAGAAGATAACTATTCTAAGATTGTGTTACTTAAGAGGTCACAACTTTCTCTGAATATTTTTACTTTGTTCTTATAATCACAATATATTATTATTTTAACTATAATAATTTTTGAATATTTAAAGCCAAATTTTTGAAGAATATTTAGTTTAGAATATTGGGTATACGGATTTGGTAATTGATATTTGTAGCATACTTTATTTGCTGTAAATCGGTAATACAAAGTTCATATTTAATAAGGAAACAATTCCATATCTAGCTAATATTTAAGCATGCAAATTATATAAACATATGATATGTTTTTAACGTAAATAAATAATTTAAAGTTTACAATAAATATATTCGTACATGCTATGTCATTATGTTATATGTCATATTATATATAAAATGTAAATACTATTTATTAATTAAAATCCTTACAGGCCAGCTGGATGTGACTATTTTTTTTTATTTTCAGTTCAATTTTTTTTTTATTATAAAATTAGACTTTGGACAGGTCAATGTCTAATACTATATAAATGTAAAAGTGATTTTTTATTACCTCTTGCTATAAAGGCAAGTTAAGCATGGCTCAACTTTATCAACCAGCCATAATTCGTCATGCAATTTAATATATGTGTATTCTTCAAATACTAAATTTGCGAATAAAAATAGTACTAAATCAAATTTTATGAAAGAAATACATATGTAATTTTAGTGGACAAATAGATATACAGAAGGGCGGTACCGTAAACAAACTCAAAACTACAGAGCTTTCAAAGCATAATTATATCAACATTACTATGCATATAGTAGCACAAATATGTTTATAAGAAAATGTTTAACTTCGTGTCATACTATTTGATATATGTAGCTATTTTTTTTTAATAATTAACAGAGACATACGAGTATAATGAAATAGATGTAGCAGATATCAGAAGCAGACTTTGTACAAAAGTCGTTTACTTGGAAACCTCTGTCTCATTCGTGTTTTTACCGTTAAAATTGCATGGCTGTGTTTCAGTTTGAAGAGTGAGATATGGCAGTTAATTTACAGGGTATAAAGGAATAACACCTGAATCCTCAGGAATGACAACGCATAAGAGAATATCATGAGCCAAACAGTATACTCTGTTATGTCCATGGTACTGTTCACGTCTGTAGGCGACGGTTACCACTTTCCAGCAGGTGGGCCGTCAGTTTGTTTGTCATTCTAAGCGGTATAAAAAAAATAGAAATAAAAAAACAATTGATATGCGTATATTATCCTCTCTGAACGAGCTCAGAAGAAACTAATTGGACTCCAGCTAATCTAAGTTTCAATTCTATATTGCTACTTAAAATGTATTTTGAGTTAACACATTTTCTTTTACACACATTAACGATATGTTATATAGTCACTTTAGATTGAAAATATTAAAATTTAGTATACAGTATCGTATGTGTTATAATTTTTTCATTATTGTATAAATAAGGAAAAATTTTATATTATCAAATCTAATTCTTGCTTATATGAATTTATAGGCAACATTTTGATTCGCAAAAAATACTTCAGTTTCAATAATCACAATATATACTCGAATATGCGACCAACGCATGAACAAATCCTACTTCTGTCTAATAAAGTCTATCTAACTGTCTAAAACCTACCAAAATAGGTTCAGAAATTCAGACGATGTCGCAAACAGTTCGCTGTCGAAAGCTAATTCTTTTCAACATTATTGTGAGCGACAAAAAACACTGATATCCATGTTTAGTTTGCATATAGTTAGAGCAGGTACTTGCGCGGTCTATCTACCTATCGTCAATGTCACAAACATATTACATAGACATATACGTGTACGTAAAGGTGTGAAACGAAAGTGGTCTTAGGTGTAAGAAATTCTTCCGTGAGCGATTGTAATTATTTGTCTTCGACTCTATCAATCAAAATTGTGTCAATGGATTTGAAACTTTACTGCGTAATGTTAGAGCTCAAGAT